GTTGTTTGGTAAAAGTCGTGCGAAGGTCTACTTCCCACTGAGTAATATATTTAGGAGTTGCATCTGATGGATTGGGTAATAACCTGTATGACTGAGATATGCTGTGGGGTGCCTCTTCCTCATCCAGGCATAATTTTTCAAATTCCGTAAAGGAAGGTAAACTCATCACTCTTCACCAATTATGGGAGATAAAGTGATGTAATTGCATAGCTTTCCAGAGTGGAAAGGGAGGTTTAACCATAGAGCTAATATCCACCAAGGATCTCCAAGAGCCCTCTTGAAAGAAATGTAGCACTCGAAATTGCTGATCTCACAGTAGAGAGAAATATTCTGGACATGGGGTATAATTTTTGAGGCAAAGCAGAGGAAACGCAATGTGTAAACAAGGCTGTAATCTTACCATTTTATTTAGTGACAGGTTCTTTGATTGGCATTCAGAGTGCTTTAAAAAGCTAATCCAATGCCACATTTTGAATTAAGTGTAAACAAGCCCTAATTGTTATGTCTAAGGTGAAAGCTACACTTTTCAGAATTGGCTTTATTTAGCTATGTCATGGTCCAAGGAAATCTGTCCTTTCTTGTTTACATAAAATAAGGCAGATCCTTTTAATTGCTATGTAACTTTCTGTGCACTCAGTATATACAACACAGTACCACCCACACTGACTCATACTGCCATCTCACAGTTACCAGGACTGACGTTGTTGAATCAATTCAGTTGATGCAACACATCATTTTACTGACTTCACCAGAATTTAAATAAAGGAACGTATCTAAAGTAATGTATTCAATAGAAGTGAGTTTAAATCCAAGGACATAAATGTAATATATTGCAGCTTAATACCCTTAGATAAAGGGGCTATTTTTTTTTTTGTATCAGTAATAAATTGGATGTGAGTAGGAAAGCCAGAAAGAACATCTATAAAGCATGTTCAGGCATTTACCCCAAATCTTCTTCTCCCCCTCATAGGCGTGTCCTAACAGTAATGCTTTGTTTTTCCTTGTCCTTTTAGCAAGAAACAGCTTCACTTTCTCCCTATGACATCATCAGGCCTGAAAAATTCCTAGTGAGGCAGCAGATACATCTATGTTGCACCAAGAGTCCATTTCCAACACACCATTTGTAGACAGGCTCTGCATATATTATTTATTATTATACAGTATTTATAAAGCGCCAACAGTTCGCTCAGCGCTGTACATTACAAAGGGAGACGTATGTATCTACAAGAGGGACACAGAGATCTGGGAGATAGGTAGTGTAGTCCAGCAGGAAGGGTTGACAATGCTTGTTGGGATTGTCATCTCAAACAGGAAGATAGGAGCACACTAGATTTCTGATAGATCAACAGTGTTTAATGAGGAAAAACATGGGGAAATGTACATCTATCGGAATTTGTATTTTTACATTATAATATTGATTTGTTTTTTGTTTTTTTATTGCCCTGTCACACTTTAACTATACTTGTAAAAATCTATGGCCTGATCCTTTCCCACAGGCATCTATTTTCTGGTTACCACTTCTCCCTTGTGACCAACTTTGAGCAGGGATTCCAAGTGGGGTCCTCAGGATATCAACTGCTCTGGATTGTGAAGTTTTGTGGGATAACAAAATAATGGTGAAATGACAAAAAGTCACTCAGACGCCGAGCCCCTCTGGCAATGAGCATGGGGGAGGAAACTGCTGCAGAGGGCTAGGTGGCTTAGATGCTAAGCATTCTAACAGGCTGGTTAAAATGAAAGACTGCCAGATAAGCATGGCAGTCAGTCAAGTCACAAAGCCTTCACAATAGCAAAAAGACTGGAATGTTATTTTACTAAAAGCTTTGCATAACTTGTATACGACAAAAAAGAACATATCACACAGGTGACTGATTTGTTCTCAAAACTTCAGCGGATAACATTCTGGGGATTCTGTACAGTTACATAATTCAGCTTGGCTCAAAGGGGGAAAAAATCCAACAGCTTCTTTCAGACTGAAGTCTTCAGAATATAAACTTCTCTGTCCTCAAAAGTCCAACGCCATCTTTCTGACCATGGATCATGTTTAGGGAGTCTGCAGCCCTCCACTCTCAAACAACCCCCTCTGCTCTTACAAGAATGAGGGGTTCTGCTCACCATCAGTTCCTTTAAAATTTGAAATTGTGGCAAAAAAACTAGTAGTTCTGAATGGAACACAATTGCAATGATGTCACTTCAGTTCTGTTGAAGCCTGTGCAATCCACTGGCTACAAGTGCATTGCTTTCCAGGCTTCAATTTAAAAAAATAATAAATGCACATTATTTTTTAATGAAAATGGGTGCATTTCTTATTTCTTTTCCAAAACGTGCAATTTCCCTTACAAAGGGCAGTATACTAAAGAAGATTTCCCAGTTTGGGTAGATCCTTGTGGAAACAAAATACAGTCCTGGGGCCCATGAATAAATCCATTGACTCTAGCGGTATGATGGCTGTTAGCATGTTTGCAGACTTTCCCATCTGCTGCGGCTTAGGATCTCTGGCACCTATTAGGCTTTTCATGAAATAATAGGAAGAACATCTTCTAATTCCCTTACAGCAGCAATAGGAGAAAGAGTGTATTGCGTGATAAATCATTTTGCCCCTTTACAAATCGTTAGTAAGAGCATCTAGAATATGCAGTTCAGTTTTGGGCATCAATTCACAAAAAGGATATTGGGAAACTGAAGAAAGTACAGCGAAGGACAACCAAACTGATGAGGCATGGAGGAGCTCAGCTATGAGGAAAGATTAGAGGAACTGAATTTATTCTCTCTTGAGAAGAGGAGATTAAGGGGGGATATGATCAACATGTATAAATACCTAGGTGGTCCATATGGTGAACTTGGTTTTTAGAGTTATTTACTTTAAGAACATTACAGAGGACAAGGGGTTACTCTTTATGTCTGAAGGAAAATAAATATTCCAAATATAGAAGGGCTTCTTCACAGTGAGAGCTGTGAAACCATGGAATAGATTTCCTCAAGAGCTGGCTCTAGCCAGCTCAGTAGAGTGTTTAAAAAAAAAGGCCTGGATTCTTTTCTAAATGCACAAAATACAATGGGATACTGGTATTCAGGTTTTTTTTTTCAGTGGGAACGCAGGGGAACACATTTTCGGCACTTCCAGCACTGAAAGTATGTAATAGCAAAGGGTGCTGGAGCGTGCCGGAGGATCTGTTGTTGCTGGCTGCTGGAGGATCTATTGTCACTGAAGGGTATCTATATTTGTGTGGTGGTCTATTGATGCTGGGGAGGTCTAATGTTGCTTGTGGGTGATCTGTTGTTGCTGGAGGTCAATTGTTGCTGGAATGGATCTACTGTTGAGGGAGGGGTCCATTGTCTATTGTTGCCGGCTACTGAAGAAGCTATTGATGCTGGCTTCTGGGAGATATGTTGTAGCTGCTGGGGATCTAGTGTTGCTAGGGTGATATTTTGTTGCTGGATGAATTTATTTTTGCTGGGGGGGGGGGTCTGATACTGCTGGCTGTGGGGGAATCTATTTTTCTGCTTTTCTTGTTATCATTAACAAATTCCATACAAATTATTTAGCACCACAAAATGGTACTTGTCTCTGTATTCTCTAAAAGGAGTGCTACTGGGAGGTGGGTAGGGGCTGTAACCAAAGGATGGTGCTCAAATGTGGGTAAGGGGGCAGAGACAAGAAGGGGGGAGTTCCTGCACCTATTTTTTGAAAAAAAAAAGTCCTGCTGGTATTTATAGGTAAAGTTGATCCAGGGAATAACTGATTGCCTCTTGGGGCCTCAGGAAGGATTTTTTTCCCCCCGCTGCAGTAAATTGGATCATGCTTTTGTAGCACTACCCCCTTAAGGGCTCGTTCACACTAGGCTGTTTTGCCAACGCTTGCCAAACGCCCCTATAGCGTTTGGCAAGCGTTGGTCCGGCGTTTGCGGAGCGTTTTTTAACGCTCGGCAAACGCTCCGCAAACGCCGCATGCGCGGTTTAGCGGCGGTTGCTAGGCGGTTGCCGAGCGTAATAATAACGCCCCACAAATGCCTATAATGCAGTTTGAGTGGTGTTACCCGCTCCGCAAACGCCCCGCAACCGCGTCACAACCGCACCGCAAACGCCGGCCGGGCGTTTGCGGAGCGGCACCATAGACGAGAATAGGAGGCTTCAAAGCCTCCTGACTCGTCCAGAGGCGTCCGTTTTGCCGCGACGCAACACGACGCGACGCAAACGCTCCCGTTAGAACAGCACCATGTGCTGTAAATGTGCAGAATTGGCAGAGGCGTTTGGGAAGCGGTAAAAACGCTTCCCAAACGCCTCTCTGCCGCCTGCACACAAGGCTAGTGTGAACGTAGCCTAAGAGTCGCTAGAAGATTTGGGTCCCCCTATAGTCCTGCACAGCCAGGCATCACACATCTTCACAAAAGCTTTTGAGTCAAAAATCAGTCCTTGAGCTTTGGTTTTGTTATTTTATTTTGGGGAAGGGTACTGATAAACTGAGGACAACTTCCTGGAACTATTTACAAGTTTTTTCCATAACACAGTCTCAGTTGGAGAGCTAGCCAGCATCTCCTTAGTGTACCACCCCAGACTCTAGATGAATTTCTCCTCTTCATCCAGCAATCTGGAGGTATCCCTAAACAGGGGATCTGGTTCTTGTCACTTTAAGAGATGAACAATCACTGGCAGTTGGCTAATCTGGTTTTCCACCAGAGTGCTCCTTCCCCTATCCACTCAGGGTGTGTAGGTGTACTCACTCAGATTCTCTCCTGGACTGCTTGTGGGTTGGTGGCTACTACCAGGCCTATCAGCTGGGCCACTCCTTCCCTGCCATACAGGTGGTCCTCTCTCAGGAGGCCAGTGAGCTCTGAGCGTCCCTCATTTCCAGCTCCAGGCCTACAGGTAGGCTCATCCCACTGGGCCTCCTCACAGCCTCCTTCCTTCATCCTCACATCCTCCACTCTGTCTTCCACCCAAGCTCTCCTGCTACTGAGCAAGCTCCAGCACTTTTAAGGGTGTCCCAGACCCTTGCCAACCTCTTGTTGGGGATTAGCTAGGATCCCTCAAAAGTCAAACCAGCCACCCCTCAGATCCACACACTGTCTCCAGGGCCTCCTTCCAAAATCCCTAGAGCAGGGGGAATTCCAGAGGGGTTGGCCAGAGTCTCCCAGCCCTGTCCACAATTTGACCCCTCTCTGGCTATTACACCCAGGCTGCTACTCAGGCTCTGTCTAACCATCTAACCATTGGAGTATAGCTCCACTAGCTTCCTAGGAGGGCGCTACACTTTATTGTTTTTGTTTTCCTTCATCTGGATCAACTGTGAATATATGAATTGTGTATATTTATTTTCCCCTTCTATTGGTTGAAGTGGATGGACTTGTGTCTTTTTTCAACCAGACTAACTATGCAACTATGTAATTATTTAAATAGTTAACTCCTATATAGAAACCTTGCTATGGACTTTTCCATGGATATAAGAAAACAGTTAAGCTGGCTGTTTATGTAGTTTACAGTAGATTCCTCAATCCATCCTGTAGTCTTACAGCTGTCTCTGGTGGCTGAAAGAATGCCCTAACTGCCTACCTCTGAGTGGATGCAGTCACCATTTGGCTGATACATTTCCACTGGACTCAACAATCCCTTTTTGTTGAGCCAGGTATTGCTCACAGGGGCATCGAATGCTCAAATTTTGAGCCGTGTATGGCAACCTTTAGGGATTCAGCCTACCAGGCTCCCACCAGCACAAAAATATTAGCTTTAGGCACAACGATCCCTTAACAGAAACCTGTACTGAAAAAATTAGTAGGTTGCCCATAGTTAACTCCCTCTTGGACATGCTAGTTCCTTGGCTCTCATGCTGATCCAAAGTAGTCATTGAGCTGGATCAAGTATGCCAATCAGGAGTTCTGACTTTCCTCTGACATTGCTATCTGAGGCCAGACACAACCAAACAACTAGTCTTTGCAGATGAACGTAAGTAATTTCCAACGCTGTTGACAGTGGGAAAACATGCAACTTACTCACTCCTTACTTATACCAATGTGATTAAAGGAGAATTTTGTACACTGGAGCATGACTGCTTCTTCTAGAAATGACAGCCTCTGTATTTCTCTTAGTACAGGTTTCTTTAAGTGCTCTGAACCTGGTAAGTGTGCAATCAATATATAACTAATGGGGAAGATGCACAGTGGGACAGAGCACGTAACACAAAAAACAAGTTACCCTACACTTGACCTCCTTAGCTAACTACAGGAAACCATCGAAAACCTGCATCTTAAATTTCAGTAAAGAAAAGGTCTCCGTTTCCATAAATTTGCAAATCTATGAGTAATCCACATACCAGACTCAAGTTTCCTTTGGAAAGTGCTATTCCTATTCTAATCAACAGGAGCACCTTCACTGGGGATTTATATAGAAATACAAAAACAACAGGCTTAAGTAGAGGTTAGAGTGATCCATGTTGTTCCTCCTGCTATGCTATCCTATCTAACAGCACTTGTGCATAGAAGCTGTTGCAAATGCTTTATTGCATCTCACTAATTTTACAGCTCTCTAGCAATCGTTAGAAATCAGCGTTAAAATTCTGTATTAAAATTTCATCTAATGTACTTTCACTTAGGCTTCCTTCTTCTCCATTTAACTGATATTTAAAGCCCAACTCCGAGTATTACAAAATGACCGTTCCACCTATAGCTACAATAAATCCATTAAATTTCTGTTCTCACATACATAAGGAGTTTAGGGAGGAACAGCGCACTGATCTTCCCAGTCTATGGCTTTGCAGAAAGTGTGTGTGTGCAGGGGTGAATTTACCACAAGGCAAACAAGGCATTTGCCTAGGGCGGCATTTTTCAGGGGGGCAGCACTGCCCCTTGGAAGAAGGGACAGAAGAAGGGACACACTCGGCATGGGGACCTGGTGGGTTCTGAGAGATACTGTGGGTTTTCATGTCCAACTCTCATTCCTGAGGATGTCCGGATCTATGAAGGTGAGTGTCTTTCTCTCACCATGGGGGGGGTGGTGTGGGGGGAAGTGATAGTGGAAGGCTCGGGTGGAGGGCAGGGGTGCTCTTGGTCAATGTCAGGTTCTTTTCTGAAGGGGGGGGAGCCAATTTTTGTGTTGCCTAGGGCAGCACAAAACCTAAATACACCACTGTATGTGTGTGTGTGTGGGGGGGGGGGGGGGGTGTCAGGACAACACTGATCATTAGAGCAGAGCAGGCTGAGCTCCCAGCATAGCTGAAGAACATGCCATGCTGTGCTCTCCTGACTAGTGTGGTCAGTTTTTATTAGAAAAACAGCAGAAGAAATACAAATGCTTTACTGCTTCTCGCTCATGTTACAGCTCTCTAGAAATCCTTAGAAATCAGTGTTAAAACAGTGTATTAAAATTTCATCTAATGTACTTTCACTTATGCTTCCTTCTTCCTCATGTAACTGATATTTAAAGTCCATCTCCAAGTATTGCAAAATTATCTTTCGAGTGGGCTGAACCCACAGTGCAAGGACTACATGCTTTATAAAGTGATCGTATAGCTACACCTTGTAAAAAAAATCTATTACTTTCTGTTCTCAGTTACATAAAGGAGTGTAGGGAGGAGCAGCACACTGATCTTCCCAGTCTATGGCTTTGCGGGAAGTGGGAGGTGGGGGGGACAAGACTAATCATTAGAGCAGAGCAGGCTGAGCTCCCAGAATAGGTAGACAACTGACCACGCTGTGCTCTCCTGACTAGTGTGGTCAGTTTTTATTAGGAAAACAGAGGGACTAACAGGAGCAACAGGGATTTCACACAAAGGAGGCAATAAAAAGAGAACAGGATACTTTTTAATACAAGTGTAGCACTACCCCCTTAGGAGTTGCTGAAGATTTGGGTCCCCCTTTATTCCTGCACAGCCAGGCAACATGCAGGAGAGGAGATTTTGAGCATAAACAAAAACGCTCAAAAGTGGGAAAACGAGCATTAGCATGCATAAACACATATACACATATTAGCAGGCATTGATGCATTCTAATGAGCAGAATTCTGGCCAACAGAATGCATTAACGGCAGACTTGGGAACACGCATGCAAGAAGTCTACTTTTTACTGTGGTTTTGATTCTGAAAACACCTGTAGTGCAATAAACATTTTTGAGCTGTGATTGAGGCTTTAAGGAATAGTACTGAGAAAGAAAAAGGACTTGTGGGTTTAATCAATCATTTTTGTATATGGATTTTTCAAGTAACAGGTGTGTAGCTGGTGTATGTCCTTACGTTACATACTTTTTGCTAATAGGTATCTCTCTTACCCATTTCAGAAAGTTGGAAGGTATAAGTAAGTATTACACCTTATTCCTCATCCTCTAGGCCTCATACACACTGGGCGTTATAAAACACCAGTACCATTAGCTATAGAATGCAGCATTAAAACCAAGAGTTTTGTCATGTTTTTTAGCGTTTTTGCATTAGCGTTTTTCAGCGTTTGTATTTTTTAGCAAAACTATACTCCCACAAAAGCTAGAGGCTCAAAAAACACTCATAAACACCAAATAGCCATGTTTTAGCATTTTTACAGCTAAAAAACTCTTCTTGAAACCCATTAGTGGGTTTTTTTTTTTTCCACCAGAAAACGCCCCTGCCAAAAAACATTGATTAAAGCCTATGTGTGCATGGACACATAGGATAACATGCTGGGGGGTTTACTGGTTGTAGAAAAAAAAAAAAAAAACACCGGAAGCCAAAAACAGCAGCTGTAAAAACACCCAGTGTGTATGAGGACTTAAACCAGTGGTACCCAACCTCAGTCCTCAAGTACAGCCAATAGTTGCTCAGGTGCTTTAAATCATGTCAATGGCTTGGTATTTGTGTCAGCTATTTCATCTAAACCTACATTCATACTATGAATGCATTTCTGTGCTATTCACTTGCGATTCAGATTGTGTGTGGTGGGATTTGAGGCCATTCATTTGGAATGGGCTCATATCGCACCGCATGGCACCAAAAGCAGTGTATGCACTTCTTTTGGAAATGCACTGCAATTGGATCGCATGGTGGTTTCGTAGAATGCGAGCCAGATGTCCATAAACTCGATCTGCACAACGGATATAGCTCTATAATCTAGTTTTTATTCAGTAAACCACAGTGTAAAAAGTTACAGTAACAGTCAGTAAATGCTATCTGGCACAGCAAACGCACTGCATTTGCAACCTGCATTGGGGGGTGTCATTAAAGTGGTGTTCCACTCTCAAAGTGGATGCTCCATTTGTTTGCCTCCCCCCCACTGCCATATTTGGCACCTTTTGGGGGTTACCTGGTTTTGACAGGTACCCACTCCCACTTCCAGCTCAGTTTGCCGTGGCGAAGTGAGCCGGAAGTTCGGCCCCCTCCTTCCTCCCGCAGTCTCCTGGGAACTTTCACAGGTCCCTGAAGACTGTTGGAACAATCCGAAAGCTCAGCATGACTCGGGCATGTGCAGTGGGCACACAGCTGTGTAGCCACAAGCTGTCACAACCTGGTGCCCACAGTTGTGATGCCAGTGCCGAAGAGAGAAGAGGCAGAGAAGGGACGGCGCGGGTGAGCCCATCGCTGGATCCTGGGACAGGTAAGTGTGTTTATTAAAAATGAGCTACAGTTTTTGTAACTGCCGAATTATAATAAACACAAAACCGATTGGAACTCCGCTTTAACATTCCACTGACACCCACTGCAGAATTCAAGGGCAGTGAGTTCTGAATGCGGTGCAGGAAAATGCGTAGAGATCGTGGGTTTCCGGAACTGCATTGAGATCGTGGGTTTCCGGAACTGCATTCTAGTGCTCATGGAAATTCCCAAAATATGGCCTCTTAGGGAGGGGCAAACTGACAGCTCATGGGGCCCCCGGGCAATAGGGGATCATGGGGCCCCTGTGTCCTTGCCCAAACTCAAAAAAGCCTATGAAAAAGGTACCAGGGGCATCTCATGGGGGCCCCTACTGACCCCGGGCCCTCGGGCAGTGCCCGAGTTTCCAAATGGTCAGTCCGCCCCTGCTCTTAGGGCTATTGAGGACTGAGGTTGGAAACCACTGCCCTAGACCTAACAAGCATCCAACACATGAAGAAAGGATGAATGGTGCCATTGTGCTCAGGCAG